CTTGAATTATAAGCCACTCAGAAGGAAGTGTTGATGGCTTACTGAATGATTTACCTTAAAGCTTATACAGAAAGGTCAAGAATACCACTGTAAATACTAGTACGCTGATCATTTGAAAGGAAGCTGTTGAAGATTCAAGTAAGGGAGGAAGAATGATATAGCTGGCTGAAGTAAAGACACATAGCAGGAAGGTGCCAGCAGCCTAACCAGGGGCCAAACCCCAAAGAGCTTCTGAGTCAGGGATTTGTTTTCAGGGCTCAGGGAGTAACTTGAAACTGGGGGAGGAGAGATTTGAGACCCTTCCATGGTAAGATTGGAATCATGAGAATAGATAAAATCTTTTGTAGAGAACACAGGGAGGAGAGATTGGGGGGCATCCAAGTGGAGTACCTCATGGCAATTCCAAGGAAGTCACAGCATCTCCAAAAAGGCAGCAACACAGAGTGCTACAGAGGTTGAGACCTGAGGCTAGGGAGCTGGGTTAGGCTGTGCAAACCTCACAGGTGACTTCCAGAGAGCCGTCTCAGGATACGATAGGTGCCAGAACTGAACTGCAAGGGGCTGAAAAAAAGAATGGCGACACACTAGAGTGTCTGACTGTGGAGGAAAACCAAACTGGAATGAGGTTATGTGCTATCTAATCAGAACCACCTCACAGCTGAGCCTCCAGTAGATTTTCAGAGGCTGGAAACTGCACTGGGGGAGATTATCCATCTTAATATCATGGCATAGCCGGTGGATTCGAACTGCCTACTTTTGGGTTGGCAATTCAACTCCTTACCCATGAAGCCACTAGGATCTCTGAAACTAGAATCGTAATTTAAAATTAAAGTTATAAAAAAAAAAATTAAAATTATTTCAGATTATTAAGTGGATTCGAACCGCCTGCTTTGGGGTTGGCAACTCAACTCCTTACCAATGAAGCCACTAGGATCTCTGAAACTAGAATCGTAATTTGAAATTAAAATTATTATTTCAGATTATTATCAGGTGCTGGGATGTGCACATGTCATCTGCTGCCAGGAAAAGCAGAACTTAAGGGTGAAAGACTGCAGATGTCGTACTGAATAGTAACAGGAGAGGAAGGAATAATTCAGAGGGGCTAACGTGAGGCGAGGGCTGCCAGAGTGTCATAGAATTGGAGGCACAGAGGTGAGAGTTTGGGAATGTCCTGTCTGTTGGCTGTCCTCTCTCTCTCACCCTCTCCCCCTCCCTGTCTCTCTCTCCCTCTGTCCCTCTCTCCTTCTGTCCCTCTGTCCTCTCTCTCTCTCTCTCTTAGTGAAGTTGGATCTTGGGTTATCTGACATGACAATTATCCTGGAGACATGGCAGGCTGTGAAGAGTACAAGGAACTTGGAGTAGCATCTGTGGACTTGAGATGAGTGTTCCACAGTCGCAGTTCATCCTTTAAGCCCTTACATCCCAGTAACAACACTTGTTCATAGGTAAGGGCGGAAGCCCTGCCTCCCGTTGTGTATCTGCTAGCAAGGCTCCTCTTAAAGAGCTAACCAGATCCCCCTGTCTTCTCACTTGCACTCAGTGTTCTCTTAGTTGAGCTGAATTGTTTTCCAAGAAAGTGATAGCATGATTTGTAAGAGCCAACTGACTGGTGTTATATCTCAAGTCTCAACTTGTCTAGTTTCAGACCTAAGCCTGTCCTTTCTTACTTGTAATTAAGTTTTTCTTACAAGTTATGTATAGCAATTTCAAGCATGTTAATTATCAGTGCCATAATTGGGAGGTTTCCCTGTTTTCTGGCTCAAGTCAGTGCCAGTTTCATTGCTTTTAGCTAAGTACTAACTCTCTTAAAAGAGAAAATGTTCACTGTGCCTTGTACATTAACTGTTAAGTTATCAGGACCCTACACAACAGGCCAGACTCAATGGTAGATTTTAGTACATGCAAAATCTCTATTCTCAACTTCATGGAGACAGTTGAACCTCACTGCAGGTCCTTTACGCACCTCTGTCACTATTTGAGTGTAATGTTATTGTTGTTATGTACTGTTGAGTGAGAAACAACTGATAGCTGACACTCCAGCTGGTTTTCAGAGGCTGTGAATCACCTGGGAGGAGACAGTGCAACTCCTTACCACTGAGCCACTAGAGCTCGCTGTATATACTAGAAAATAGATCGATTCTGTTGTTGTTATTGTTACAAGTGATAGAAACACACCTGCAAGTGATTTTAAAAGTTTAATTGGTTTAATAAATATAAATAAAATGAAGTATTGGTCCAGGTATCTGGGGACACATCGTAATGACTTGACTTCAGTTAAGGCAGGATCAAGAGGTTTGTTTATACAATGTTACCAGAATTTCTCTCTCCAACACGTCAGGCTATTCCCCTTCATATTTTTGCTTGTCCCTGAAACTGTCAAACTTTAGAGTTTTGAATCCCAAAGAGGGAGACCATCTTCCATTTTTATATACCAAACTCTGAGCAGCTTTGGGCAAACTCCCTCCTCTAAGCCAATCACCATGATTGAAGAGATGGAGGTTCTTAGGGATCTCAAGACTCATCAGGATCACTTACAGGCAGTAGTTCTTCAGCGAGAAAACCCGAAGAAAGGGGAAGTGGTGTGGCCTAGATAAAACAACAGAATTCATTATGGATACCAAAGGACAGAACCTAAACATGAGAACGAAGACAGAGCCATTCCAGACCAGTTATTTTGGAAGGCTCAGTGTTTATTTGTTGTTGCACGTGTTAGTCATGCTCTTCCCTAGATGGATTTCTAGATCAAAGCTGTGCAAATTCCCCCAAGGGTTTGATTTAGCAGAGGGCTGTGCAGAATGACTGCAGGAGGAAGACACTTAATTCCCCACACTCATTTAAAGTCAGCTTTTCTTCTCAGGTCTACACATTGGCTTGAACTGGTTCCAAAAAGCAAATTTGACTCTGTAGTCTAGAAATTCTGAGCATGAGTTTGGGCATTTTAAGTTCCACCTGAAAGAAGGAAGTGCAGAAATTGGTGATACTAGTTCGCATAGGAAGGATGGCACAGAGAGAAGAGGGTGCGGAGGGCTGTCGGTGGACACACCCTGCCCTCGCTGGGCCCACGCTCCTTCTTCACACAGGGGTGCTGTGCGGCCTCTGCCTTGCTTTACCCACAGGGCACCGTTTCTGTGAACACTGCTTCCACAGAACTGCCTCCCAAGCTCGTTTTAAATGCTGTTTTCTCCTTTCACCCCTCCACCTCCAGGCTAAGTCTCAGTGAAAATTTCTGTGATAACAAAAACAATGAGAGTGCTTAAACTAGATTGTTGTCCAATTAAAGCAATGTTTTGCCACTACTTTTAAACCACAGTGATATGAGAGTAGGTAGACTCCCTCACTCCCAGATTTATGATCAGTCTGCTCAGCACATCAAAAACTCCCTTAATCTCTAGATCTTCATGTAAAGTGTGGTTGAAAATAGATCCAATAAAGCTGACAGAGATAAGCTTTTTTAATGGCCTCACATACTAATTATCATACATTTGAAGAAAACTTGTTGATTAACTTGATTTGGCAGTGACAGAATTACAGTATAGTGCAGAAAAAAAAAACCATAAATACATAGTAACTTTCCTTCCCTTCACCACTTACAACAAAATGTAGTTTTAAATGCTACAACAAGCCATGATTAAATTAGTCCTTGGTTCTCAAAATATGTTGGCAACTCAGTGAAAGCTCTTGTGTGGTTTCTGGTACTTGTACACCATTCTATATGGGTTCAATAGTGAGTGTGTTCATCTTTGTGAATATCCTAAGGAGGCTTTTCTTTGAAATTTTCCTTCTAGCTAGGTAATGAGGTTTAAACAGAGGGGATTTTTGTTCTTGATATCGTTTAGCCTTCTTACTAACAATCTGAAGTGAGCATTATTAGTGTTATTATATTTGTTTGTTGTTTGATGCCATCGAGTCGTAGACTCATAGCGACCCTATGAACGAACAGCCCGAGCACTGTTCGTACATAGAGTTTCCGGAGGCAAGCCATTTCGGAAGTGGATGCCACTCCTGCTTCCAGAGTGTTATTATAGATGAGAAAATATGAAGGTCAAAGTCTACCTCGGTCTCAGATCAGGTGAAGGGTACTGCTAGGATTTGCCCTCAATCTGTTGCTCTCCAGTGTCTCTAAGATAAGACACCAATCCTTAGTCATTCCCTGAATGTCCTAGTCAGTCCAAGTGTTCATGCAGCTGTGTTTTAGAGGAGAAAGCAAGAATGTCTTCCTTGGCCAAGCTGGAATCCTGATCCCTTTTCCCCTTACTCCCTGCACCAGTCAGGCAGGATAGGGTGAATGTTTTGAACACCCACCGTGGACAGCAGAACAGGCTGCCACATGGTGTGTGTGTGTGTGTGTGTGTGTGTGTGTGTGGTTCTACCCAGGCACTGTGGCCTGCAGGCTTGTCTGGGAAATTCAGGCAGCTATACAAACAAAGAATGCACATCCTGTCATGCTTTCAATCCTGGTTTTGTTTCATATCAGAAAACATAGTACGATAGCTTGCTCATACAGTAAGGAAAAGCCAGACCCTAGTATGTTGTGGTAAATATTTAAATGTAACCCTAAAGCCCTACTGCATAAGGGGTTACACTGCCAACCCAATGGCAGACAATCCAAATCCACCAGCTAGACCTTGGAGGAAGATGGAGTTTCCCCCGGTGCAACTCAAAGCCTCCAAAACCCCACCTGAGAGCCAGCTATGAGTCAGTTCTGACTGTATGGCAATGGATTGAGTTTGTTTAAAAAGATTCTCAGAAATTGGGCTTCCTTTGAGGAAAAGGAATGAGAATGGATGGGTCTAGGAATTTAATTGTGAAATCTGTCAAGAGCAGGTGCTAATGTGATTAATTTATGTTATGATATACTTGAAAACAAACAGAAAAAAAACACCCAACCAGAAACCACCTACCTGTCACCTAGTCCATCTGAGCCCTGCCCTCCTCAGGATTTATCCCCAGGTGGTATGGGCCCTCTGTGACAGTGTGTTTTGTGCCTTTACTTTAATCAGCTTGCCTGGTCCCAAAGGCAGGGACCACGGAACTCGAAGGTGCTGACAAAGATGACCTGCTGCTGCTGAATGAGATCTTCAATGCTTCCTCCCTGGAAGAAGGCGAGTTCAGTAAAGAGTGGGCTGCTGTGTTTGGAGACAGTCGGCTTAAAGAGCCCGCACCAGCTGTGGCCGCAGGAGAGCCAGACCCCAAGCCTCAGGCAGGCTCAGGATTCCTCCCTTCACAGCTTTTAGACCAAAACATGAAGGACTTGCAGGCTTCCCTTCAAGGTATGTGCTACTCTTGGGACTGAAAGAGGGTTCTTCTGTGTCTTTTTGTTCTATTTTTGGGGTGTTTTGTTCCCTATCAAAAGCATATTGTTTTTCTGGTTTGTCTTTTTGTTTTGCTTTGTTTCCTGTATTTTTCTTTTCTATCCAGTGAACCTTTAGTGGAAAACTCAGAACCCAATTCCAACTTTAAAAACGTGTCATAGCATTTACAATCTAATCTCGTCATTTTCTCCCTGTATCAACATTTCCTGTTAGTCATAGGGCAGAGCAGTCAGTGTTTCTCAGTCTTGTTGTGTGCCTTTGATTTTAGATTTCTTTCATGACGTATTTGGGAAGAAGAAACTGGCACTAATTTCTTGCTTGTCCTTGCCTGGCCATTCCTCTGAGATTTCCACATACACCACAGGAAAAGGTCCATAAACACACCTTCTCTTTTGGTGCTGACATTAATTACACTGTGGAAACTCTATTCCTAATGGATCTCTTAACTCTTGTTCACACTAATTTTTATTGTACACCCAGTCTATCTCTCCCCACATTCCAACCTCTTTCTGGCCTGACAGTCCCATTCAGTTTGGCCTGATACATGTGGCATTTTGGGCCAGACCTGAAGTAGAGTTGCCCCACTGAGCACAATGAGTCTTTAGCATGGATGAGGATTTAGGGTACATGACACTCACCAGCAGGCCAGCACACTGGTAGAGAATTGCTGACCTTTTGAGCACAATAGTATAAAGTGTGAGACCCAAAATTTAGGTTTATATTTAAATCTTTTTGAAAGAATTGGTTTGCAATTAAAATTTGTATACATTGTGTTTCATTCATGTACTTTGTGTTTCATACATTTCTTAATTCATTTTGTGTTTCATACAATCATTCCCGTATACTGTGTTTTATAAAATTAATCACCACTGATCACCCACTACCACCCCATCTTTCAGGTCTCCGTTAGATCTGTCCTAATTCCTTCACTCCCTCTTTCCACCCACAAAACTCTGTGACCCCATGATCTTACACTCTTCCCACCCTCAGTCCCCATGCTGCTTCTTTTTTTGGTATTTTATATACATCTTACTAGTTATCCTTCTATTTCTACAATAATGGTCGTATGCAGTGTTTGTTCTTATGGGACTGAGTTAGTTCAGCCAGCATAATGTTCTCTAGCCTCTCCCATGTCAATTTAAATCTTTACATGTGACTTTCTCAGCAGCCAGACCTCAGAAAGGAAGCCATTTTTTAGTATTTATTTTCAGTGCCTTTTCCCTCACTTTCTGTCACATTGATCATAAGAGAGGTATGGCTGTTATGACATTCTTGGATTGTTTTGGTTTTACTGTAAATTTACGCTATCTCTATAATAAACAATGTGTTTATCAGACACTTAAACCCAAGAACAAACGGCAGAACTGGAATGATTAAGTAATTATGGGCTATTAAAACCCTCAGGTTCTCAGAGATGAGATCATGGGCTCAGCAAGAAATTGGTGGGCAAGGCAAAAAAAAATTGTCTTCCCTCTTTCTTTATGAAATACTTGACTCCTTTTATCTGCTTGAGTCCTGTTTTACAGCCAACTCATTTATGTAGTAATGGAGTTTAGAGATAGCAGGAGTAAATGAAATCCAAAAATATTATCCCACCCTGCGTTTGACCCGTATTGTTCACTGGAGCAGATGTGCAATGCTGCCAACCGATTTAAGTTTCACCCCCTCACCCACTCCCTGTTGGAGGTGATAGCAAGTTGTGGAGAATTGGAAGGCAAGGAGCCCCATGTCTGCCACTGATGTGGTGGGCTGCTGGAGAGCCTCAAGAATGACGCCCTCTTGGGCTGCCCTCCAGCTCTGGGCAGACAGGTTTCCTACTGCAGTTGGGAGTCTGGTGCAGTGTTCTGCCTGGCAAGGTGGTGGAGAGTCATTTGGTGTGAGTGCCCCATGCTGACAGCTGAGAAGCCAGGGTTCCACGCCCTCTTCCTGAACATGCCAAGTGAGAAGAGCTCTGCTCAGAGCCCACAGTGGGGCCCTGAAACTATAGCTGAGAGCTCCAAAGAGCAGCAGTGACCTTGGGGCTTGGCTTCCTCTAAGTCTAAGGCGAAGGCGCAGAAACATATGTAGGTCTTGAAAAAGAGGCATTCTGATAGTAACACAAACTCAAATAATGGGGAGTAAAAAAGATTCTACAGAGAGAGGCCGTTTATTTCTCAGGCAAGAAAATCTTTAAAAACTTTCAGTTGCCCCTGTATTGGCCCCTTAGCAAGTTTCTGTTGTTTGTTCAGCTAACATTGATTAGGTCCTTCTGTGTGCCAAATACAGAACAAACAGATGAGATTCTCAGATTCTCAGAAGGAACAAACAGATATTCAACAGTAAACATAATAAATTAACAAATTAGGTGACATGTTTCAAAGTGTTCAATGTCATGGAGAAAAGAAGAAGAAGGGGAGAAAACAACAACAACAACAAAAACCCAAACAAAAAAACACCACAAAAGAAAAACCCAGAGTCCAGAGAGAGCAAGAGTTGGGAGCAGGGAAAGGTAAACTACAACTTTAAATAGGGTTCCGTTTGAGATGAGATTGAGCAAAGAGATAAAAGACATGAGAGAATTAGCCACTTGAGTATTCTGAGTAGAGGAGTAATCTGTGCAAACGTAAGGTGAGGGCATGCCTAACATGGGCAAAAAATTACAGGAAAGACTGTGTGTGGTTGGGTTAGAGCTCAAGAGCAAAGAGTAGAGGCAGCCAGAGATGATACAGAGGACTAGGCCACATAGGACCTCACAGCCACTGGAAAAACTTGGGCCTTATTTTCCACAGTGAAATTGGCCATGAGTACAGCATCTTGTTTCAATGAGGAGCACACTCTGGTTTGCTATTGGAAAGGAACATTCTGCTATCTGAAAGTTTCTTTCCTCAGTGGGAGTTCCATCAAGATCACTATTAAAAGAGTTAGTCTGTAACTCCTAATATTCTGTTTCCTTTACAGGCAAATAGATACAAAATGAATGCAATGGAATTCAAACTTAGTGAGGAAAAAAAAGGGGGAGACATTTTTAACTAGGTGGTTGGGAGAGGAGGAGCCTTGGCTATGTGGTGGATAAGAATTTTGTAGCTAAGTAAAAAGGTTGGTGACATGAACCCACCAGCTCCTGTGCAGGAGAGGGCTTTGACAAGCTGCTTCCACAGAGATTTACAGCGCTGGGAATCCTGTGAGGAAGTTCCACTAGGTCGTGCAGGGCCACTATGCGTCAGAATTGACACAGTGTCAGTGGGTTTGGGTATAGTTGGAAGGGGAAGTCCGTTCAGTCTTTACCACAGCCGCAGACTGCACTCACACTTCCGCCACTGATGGTGCCCTCTGGGGAACCTCAAAAATATATATGGGCTTCTATATAAACTGCCTATTTCAGTGATTTATTCTGTAATTAAGTCAGAACCATATTCTGTATATTTAAACCAACTTTGGTCAGGATTCCTTCTCCCACATTACCTCCTTTCCCAACCATGATCACCATCAAAAAGAAAAAGGAAAAAGGCCCTTTTTTTAGATGGCTCTCGTGGTCTAGAGGGAGCGCTGGTGGTCTAGGGGTGAGGAGCTGTGCTGCCAATGCAAAGGTCCTCCTGTGCAATTTCCTGCCTCTGAAAACCTAGTGGATTGTCAGCTTTAAGTCACTTCTGACCCAACAGTGCCAAACAGCAACAACATGATGTACAAGAGTGTTCTGTGTACATGGATTTCAAAAGCATCTGAATAACTTGAAATTGTGCTTCCTTGAAATAAAAGGAGCCCTCGTGGTGGACTGCAGTAAGAGTTGGGCTCATCATCTAAAGGTCAATGAATGAAAGCCACCAGCTGTTCCATGAGAGAAAGATGAGTTTGCCCACTACCACTTAGCGTCTCAGAAACTTGATGGAAGGTTGCCAGGAGTCAGAATCCACTCAAAAGCAGTGCAATGTCTTATAGTAAAACTGCTTCCCTGATTATCCACACCATCTCAGAAGCCAAGCTAAATAAACCACTCACTTAATTCGTCAAGAGACCAGAAAGGCTCCTTGGCTTGTTTCCTCAGTGAAACAAACAATGACAAGGAGTGCGGAGACCAGATTTTAGCCTGCAAACCCCAATTTCCCCACCCTTTCTTTACAGCAGTGGGCCAGACCGCTCAGACCCACTGTGCCTTTACAGTCTTATCAGCAAAATAAGGTCTTAGACTCACTCATTTACCAGGAAAGACCTAAAGCAGCTTCATCCACCCTCCCACAAGGGAATGTTATCTTCTTATCCCCAGGTCGTTGTTGTCGATTGCCATCAAGTCGAGGTCGACTCATAGCAACTCTATGAACAAAAGATCTAATGCCTTTTGATAGCTATCGTTCTTTCTCCAAGTTCATAGAGTGTCCAGAGGCATGTGGTTTAGGAAGTGGATGCCACTCCTGCTTCCAAATCTGTTTTACAACTGGGAGCTTCACCAAACACTGTCCACATTGGAAAAGCATTCTGGTATTTGATACCCCAATGGCACAAGGTTCAGCATCACAGCAAACCCAAGTTCCTTCATACAGCACATTGACAAAGAGTGATGTACAAAGTGGAAGAATGTTCCTCCAGCTATAACAGCACTTGTCTCATTTAGCAGTAGTTAAGAGTGTTGGGTCAAATACAACTCAGAGTAAACTTGACACAAACTACCTGAACTCTGTTCTATAATTAACATCATTTCTGTACATTTGTAAGAGAGTTTGTAGAGTTTCCAGAGGCATCTAGTTTAGGAAGAGGATGCCACTCTTGCTTCCCAACATGAATCAGTCTGGAAGCTCATCCAACCACTGTACATAATGGGCAACCATTATGGTATTTGACATGACTACGAAACAGTGTTCAGCATCACAGCAACTCCAGGGTTTTCAGTACAGCGAATAGACAAATGATTGCTGTAACTTTCAAAGAATATTCATTCTAAAATAATCAAATTTACTACAGGATTTTAAAGCCACACCCTTGAGCAG